AGAACACTTCATCTCCAAACATTGTGATAAAGACAACAAAGATAAGGAATCAAAAGAAAATAATATAATAAAGAATGAGGAAACTGGGTCTGAATGAATAAATTGTACAACAAGATAATAAAACTGGTCAAAAGAAATCAATGTATAATAGTAAGAACACTTCATGACCAAAATTATGATAAAGACAACAAAGATAAGGAAACTGGTCCAAAAGAATCAATGTATAATAGTAAGAACACTTCATCTCAAACATTGTGATAAAGACAACAAAGATAAGGAAACTGGTCCAAATAAATCAATGTATAATAGTAAGAACACTTCATCTCCAAACATTATGATATAAGAAACTGGTCCAAAAAAATCAATGTATAATAAAGAACACTTCATCTCCAAACTGATAAAGACAACAAAGATAGGAAACTGGTCCAAAGAATCAATGTATAATAGTAAGAACACTTCATCACCAAACATTATGATAAAGACAACAAAAAGATAAGGAAACTGGTCCAAAAGAATCAATGTATAATAAACACTTCATCTCCAAACATTATGATAAAAGACAACAAAGATAAGGAAACTGGTCCAAAAGAATCAATGTATAATAGTAAGAACACTTCATCTCCAAACATTATGATAAAGACAACAAAAAGGAAACTGGTCCAAAAAATCAATGTATAATAGTAAGAACACTTCAAGAAAATATGATTATAACAAATAAGGAAACAGTGAACAAATGTTATAAAAGAAACAAAAATAGTAAGAAATCAATGAAATAATAGATAAAGAACACTTCATCCTAAAACATTATGATAAAGACAACAAAGATAAAGGAAACTGAAGGAAAATGAATCAATGTATAATAGAAACAATCTCAAACATTAGATAGAAAAGAACACTTCATGTCTTCAAACAATTATGATAAAGACAACAAAGATGAGAAACTGGTCCAAATGAATCAATGTATAATAGTAAGAACACTTCATCTCCAAACATTAAATAAAGACAACAAAGATAAAAACTGGTCCAAAAGAATCAATGTATAATAGTCACACTTCACCAAACATTATGATAAAAGACAACAAAGATAAGGAAACTGGTCCAAATGAATCAATGTATAATAGTAAGAACACTTCATCTCCAAACATTATGATAAAGACAACAAAGATAAGGAAACTGTTATAAAAAGAATAAAAATGAATAATAGTAAGAACACTTCATCTCCAAACATTGTGATAAAGACAACTGATAAAGAAACTGGTCCAAAAGAAAATCAATGTATAATAGTAAGAAACACTTCATCTCCAAACATTATGATAAAGACAACAAAGATAAGGAAACTGGTCCAAAAGAATCAATGTATAATAGTAAGAACACTTCATCTCAGATAAAAACATTATGATCCAAAGAACAACAAAGATAAAAACTGGTCCAAATGAATCAATGTATAATAGTAAGAACACTTCATGAAACATTATGATAAAAAACAAAGATAAGATGACCAAACTGGTTGAAATAAATCAATGTATAATAGTGAAGAAACTGGTCTCAAAATTATATTAAAGACAACAATGATAAGGAAACTGGTCAAAGAATCAATGTATAATAGTAATGACCAAAAACATTATAATAAAGACAACAAAGATAAGGAAACTGGTCAAAAGAATCAATGTATAATAGTAAGAACACTTCATCATCAAACATTATGATAAAGACAAGAAAGAAACTGGTCCAAAAGAATCAATGTATAATAGTAAGAACACTTCAAAACATTATAATAAAAGACAACAAAGATAAGGAAACTGGTCCAAAAGAATCAATGTATAATAGTAAGAACACTTCATCTCCAAAAATTATGATGGACAACAAGATAAGGAAACTGGTCCAAAAGAATCAATGTATAATAGTAAGAAACTTCATTCCAAACATTATGATAAAACAACAATGATAAGGAAACTGGTCCAATGAATCAATGTATAATAGTAAGAACACTTCATCTCCAAACATTATAGATAAAGACAACAAATGATAAAGTGAATAGTAAACTGGTCCAAAATAAAAGACAACAAAGATGAAACTGGTCTGAATGAATAAAAGACAACAATGATAAGTAAGAACACCTCATCAAAGAAAATCAATGAATAATAGTGAAGAACACTTCATCTCAAACAATAAAGATAAAGACAAAAATGAGGAAACTGGTCCAAAAGAATCAATGTATAATAGTAAGAACACTTCATCATTAGAACTTCAAAGAAAGAAACTGGTCCAAACATTATGATCAAAAAGATAATAAAGACAACAAAGATGAGGAAACTGGTCTGGTCCAAAAGAATCAATGTATAATAGTAGAAGAACACTTCATCTCCAAACATTATGATAAAGACAACAAAGATAAAGGAAACTGGTCCAAAAAAATCAATGTATAATAGTAAGAACACTTCATCAAGGATGAAAAACATTATGATATAAAGACAACAAAGACAACTGAAAATCAATAAAGGAAAACTGGTCTGAGAAATTCATGTATAAAGAAGAAGACTTCATCAAAACATTATGATAAAGACAACAAAGATAAGGAAACTGGTCCAAAAGAATCAATGTATAATAGTAAGAACACTTCATCTCAAACATTCAGATGAAAAAGGCCAACAGTGACCAAAACTGTTATAATAAAGACAACAAAAGATAAGGAAACTGGTCTTCATCTCCAAACATTATGATAAAAGACAACAATGATAAGGAAACTCATCAAAGAAATCAGATAGAAAGAAGGCCACTTACATGACCAAAACATTATGATAAAGACAACAAAGATGAAGGAAACTGGTCTGAAAGAATCAATGTATAATAGTAAGAACACCTAAATCTGAGAAATTGATAAAGACAAAGATGGAAACTGGTCCCATAATAGTAAGATCTCCAAAAAAGATAAAAGACAACAAAGATGAGGAAACTGGGATGAATGAATCAATGTATAATAATAGTGAACACTTCATCTGAGAAAACATTATAAAAAAAGACCAAAGATACAGAAAAATGTTATAATAAAACAACAAAGATGAGGAAACTGGTCTGAAAGGAATCAATGTCAATAGTAAAGAACATTATGATGGAAAGAACTGAGGGTACAGTGACCAAAAGATAAGGACAAACTGGTCTTCAAAAATAATAAAATGTATAATAGTAAAAGAACTTCAAGATCCAAAATTGTGATAAAGACAATAAAATGAGTGAAAAAAGAAACTGTAAGAGTAAGAAAAAGATGAGGAAGAGGGCATCTCCAAAATTATAATAAAGACAACAATGATAAAGGAAAAGAAAATCAATGTATAATAGTAAGAACACTTCATCTGGAGAAATTCAGATAGAAAGAAAACCTGATTTGAAAGTGACCAAAAAACAAGAAAAGACAACAACAGATCAAACTTTGTTGGATAAAGACAAAAATAGTAAGAAACTGGTCCAAGAAAATCAGATATAATAGTAAGAAGATGAGGACAAAAATTATGATAAAGACAACAAAGATGAGGAAACTGGTCTGAAGAATCAATGTATAATAGTAAGAACACCTCATCTGAAACATTAAATAGAAATTTAAAATCAGATAATGAGACTGGTCCAGAAACAATTCAATGTAAAAAAACAAGAGGTAAAATGAAGAAACATTATGATAATGACAACGGGGATAGGAAACTAGTCCCAAAAGAAAATCAATACTATAATTGTGGAACATGACCAAAATGTTATAATTAAAGACAACAAAGATAAAAACTGGTCCAAATGAATCAGAATAGTAAACATCTAAAGATTGGGATAAAAACAATGATAAGAACAGATAAGAAACTCAATGACCAAAAGTGACCAAAATAATAAAAGACAGACAAAAGATGAGGAAACTGGTCAGAATGAATCAATGTATAATAGTAAGAACACCTCATCTGAAAAATTCAGATGAGGATAAAGACCACAAGAAATGTTATAATAAAGACAAGAAAGATGAAACTGGTCTTGAAAGAATCAATGTATAATAGTAAGAACACCTCATCTAGAAAAGAAAGAATAGAGGTTACAGTGACCAAAAGAAGACAAAAATGTGATAAAGGAACCTGAAAAAACTGGTCCAAAGAATCAATGTATACAATGTCACTTGATCCAATTGTTCAATAAAGAACAAGAAAAGAAGAAACTGGTCTGAATGAATCAATGTATAATAGTAAGAAATCATAGGAGTCTAGAAGGCATGTATACAGTGACATCAAAACATTAAAAAGAAAAGACAAAAAAGATAAGAAAACTGGTCCTGAATAAATCAATGTATAATAGTAAAATCCAAAGACCTGAGAGGTTACAGTGATAAAATGATAAAACAAAAGATAGGAAACTGGGATAGAAAGAATCAATGTAAATAGTAAAGAACCTTAAAATAAACATTGGGAAAAAGGACAAAGAATAAAAGACTAAAATGTTAAAAAGAATCAATGTATAATAAACTGAAATAAAGACAGCAAAAGAAATTCAAATAAAAAGAAAGTAAACATCTGAAAAATTGGGATAAAAGAAAAAAGATAAGGAAACTAGTAAAAGAATCAATGTATAATAGTAAGAACACCTTGTCTTAGAAATTCAGATAGAAAAGAAATAAAAGCATGGAACTAGCATATGAAAATTGGGATAAAGACAAAAAACAAGGAAACTGGTCCCAAAAGAATCAATGTTTAATAAGAAGATGTTTTACATCTTAGAAATTCAGATAGAAAAGAAGGCCTGAGGTACAGAATGAATCCAATGGGGATAAAGATCAAAAGATAAAGGAAACTTGGTTAAATAATGTTAAATAAATGTATAAAAAGAAGAACACCTTGTCTGAGAAATTCAGATAGTTAAAAAAGAAGGCCAGAAGGCCACAGCATCTGAAACATTTGATAAAGACAACAAAGATAAGGAAACTGGTCCCAAAGAATCAATGTATAATAGTAAGAAGGCTGAAATATCTGAGAAATTCAGATAGAAAAGAAAAAGAAGGAAACTCCATCTGAAATAATAATAAAGACAAAAAAAAGACAAGAAAAAAAGATAAGGAAAAAAGAAATGTGAAATAATAAAGATAAGAAACTAAGGTAAAAAAAAATAAAAAATAGAAAGAAAGATAGAGAAAAAACATCATAAATGTTAGGATAAAGAAAAAAAAGATAAAAACTGGTTAGAAAAAGATAAAGAAGTATAATAATAAGAAACCTTGTCTTAGAAAGAAAAGATAGAAAAAAAACAGAACCAACAGATAATCTGAAACATTAAATAAAGACAAAAAGACAAAGAAACTGGTCAGAAATGAATCAATGTATAAAATAAGAACAATTCATCTATTTAGAAATTTAAGAAAGAAAAGAAAGAGCAAAAGTCAGCAACTAGAGACTACAAAGATCAGAAAGAATTGAAGATAAAGAAAAAAATAAGAAACTGGTTCTGAATGAATCAATGTAAAATAAAACCAAAAAATGTAGAGGAAATTTTAAAAAAAAAAAAAAAGAGAGGAAACATCTAAGCAAAATTTTGAAAGTACAAAAAATGAAAAACTCATCTAAAAAAAGATAATAAAGAAACCTTTGTTAGAAATTCAAAAATAATAAAATATCAAAGATACAGTTCTGGTCTGGAATGTGATAAAGAAAAAAAGAAATCTTATCCCCAAAGAAAACAATGAAGAAAGAAGATTTTTAAAAAATTCAAATGTTAAAAGAAATTTTTAAGATAAAGATCTGAAAGATTTAAAATTGATACAAAAATAAACTATGCCACAAAAATTGAATATTAAAAAGAAAGAAAAGATATAATAAAAATATAAAGTAATTTGTCACATCCCATAATAGAAAGTAAAGAAAAAAGTTTCAGAAACTGTGAGAAATGTATTTTTTTTTTTTCATCTGAATAATAGAAAAAGAGAAAATAAAGAAAGGGAAAGACAAGAAAAAAGGAAAGAAATCCCTGAATGAATCAAAAAATAAAAATGTTAGAAAGATTTTTATAAAATTCAAAAATAGAAAAAAAAAAGAAAAGATAAGAAAATGTTGGAAAATGTATAAAGAAAAAATCCCATAATATTTTGGTAAAGAAAGAATAATGAAAACTGTTAGAAAGAAACACTTTCTAGAAATATCAATGAAAAAGAAAAGAGGAAAATTTCTGAAAAAATGATAAATTAGAAAAGAAAAAAGAAAGGAAAATCAGAAAATCATAGTAAAGACAAAAAATTTAAGGTAAAAAAATATAAAACTGAAGAAATGTATAATAACAGAATTTAATCCTATAAAATTAATAAAAAAAAAAAAAAGAAAGGAAAAAAAGAAAAAGAAAATTTATAACAGAAGAAAAATTAAAGAAAGAAAGAAAAGAAAAAGAAATGTATAATCTGTCTGAACAATAAAAAAAAAGAAAGAAAAATAACATTTTTCTGTTCAGAAATATTATAATAAGAATAATAACCTTAATATTGTTTAAAGAAAGAAAAGAAGAAACAGATTAAATTAAAAAATGAAAGAAGACAAAAAAATAAGGAATCTAAAAAGGAATAATGGAAAAAAGTAAAATGACAAAAGAAAGGTAAAGAAAGAAAAAAGAGGAAAAGTTCAGAAATGAAAATAGTTTGCCACATCCCAAAATTGGGATAAAAAAGAAAAAAGATAAGAAACTGGTCAGAAATGAATCAAAGTAAATAATCCCATAAATTAAAAAAAAGAAAAGAAATGAAAAAAAGAAATGTGATAAAAATCTTTTACAATGAATAAATAAAGAAAGAAAAAATGGAAACTGTTCAGAAATGTAAAATAGTAACTATGCTACAAGAATATTAAGAAAAAGAAAGAAAAGATAAGGAAAACTGTTCAGAAATGTATAATAGTAAACAAAAAATATTAAGGAAAGAAAGAAAAAGAATGAAAAGAAATGTATAAAAGAAATCAATAAAGGTAAAGAAAGAAAAGAAAGGAAACTGTTCAGAAAATATGTTTTAAGAAAAAATGTTAAAAATAAAGAAAAAAAGAATAAAAGAGAAAAGAAAAAGTATAATAAAAAGAAATAAATTAAAGGTAAAGATAAAAATGTTAGTAATTATCAGAAAATGTATAAAACAAAACAAAAAAGATGAGGAAATTGGTTCAAAAAGAAAGAAAAAAGAAAATTGTTCAGATTTTTGTATACTAGTAAAAAAAACATCCCATAAAATGGATAAATAAAAGAAAAAGATAAGGAAACTGTTCAGAAATGTTTAATAGTAAAAAAGTAAATCTAAAAAAAAAAAGAAAAAAAAGAAGGAAAGAACAAAATATAAAATGTTGCCAATAAAAGACAAAAAGAAAGAAAAAGAAGGAAACTGTTCAGAAATGGAAATAAAAAAACCAAAACATCCCAAAAAAAAGAAAGAAAAGATAAGGAAACTGAAGAGAAATGTATAAAATAATCTGCCAAAAAAAATAAGGAAAGAAAGAAAAGGATGAAATTTGTTCAGAAATGTATAAAGAAAACAATGAGAAATAAAAAGAAAGAAAGAAAGAAAAGATAAGAAAAAAGGTTTCAGAAATGTATAATTTTAACAGTGAAAATAATTAAAAAAAAAAAAAAAAAGGAAATTCCTTTCAAATGAAAGAAAGAAAAGTTAGAAATTTAGAATAGAAAGAAAGAAATAAAAAAAGAACAAAAAAGAAATAGAAAGAAAGAATGAATTTAAAGAAAGAAAAATATGAAATTCTTTAAAGAAATAAAGAAACAATCCCATAAATTAAAAAAAGAAAAGATAGGAAATGGAAAAATGTATAAAAAAGTACAAAAAAAATATACAAAAGAAAGAAAAAGAAAAATGTTATAAAAAGAAATGAAAGAAATGAAAAAGGTAAAGAAAATAGGATAAGAAAGTCAAAATGTATATAAAAGTAAAGAATCCAAATAAAAAAAGATTTAAATTAAGGAAATGGTAGAAAAAGAAAAGAAAAGAGAGAAAAGACTGAAAGAAAGAAAAAAAAAAGAAAATAAATAATATTTATTTTGAAATCCCAAAAAATTTTAAAAGAAAAAAAGAATGAAACTGAAGAAGAAAAAAAAAACAGAAAGGAAACATGAAAGAATATTAAGGTAAAGAAAAAAGAGAAAAAAAAGAAAAAAAGGAAAAGAAAAAGAAAGGAAAGAAAGTGAAGAGAAAAGAAAGAAAAAAGAAAATCCAAATTTGAAATATTAAAGAAATAGAAAAAAAGAAAAAGAAAGAAATTAATAATAGAAAGAAAAAAAATTTCAAAAAGAAAGAAAAAAAAAAAAAGAAAGAAAAGAAAGAAGAGGTCAAAAGAAAGAAAAAAAAAAGTAATTTTATTGAAAAAAAAAAAGAAAAGACTTTTTTCAAATTAAAAGAAATGAAAAAAAAGGAAAAGAAAAAATCAAAAAAAAAAAAGCAAATAAAATATTAAAAAGAAAAAAGAAAAAAAAGAAAAAAAAGAAATGTAAAAAGTGTGAAGAGGAAAGATTTCAAATGAAAAAGAGGGAAAAAAACAAGAAAAATGAAATAAAAAAAAAAGAAAGAAAAAGGAAACATGAATAAAGAAAGAAAAGAAGTAAAACCTAGGAAAAAAAGTTAAAAAAAGAAAGAAATAAAAATAAAGAACCTAAAAAAAAAGAAACATGAAATGGAAAGAAATGAAATAAAAAATTGAAAGAAAATAAAGAAAGAAAAAAAGAAATTAAGGTAAAGAAAGAAAAGATAAAGAAAAAGAAAAAAAAAAAAAAATAAAAGGAAAGAAAAAACAAAAGAAAGAAAGAAGAAAGTATAATCTTAAAGCACTAAAGGAAATATTAAGAAAAAAAAGAAAGAAAAGGAAAGAAGAAAAAAAATAATAGAAGTTAATTAAAACATTAAATAATATTAAGGTAAAGAAAGAAAAAATAATTTTGAAAGAAAATTATAAAAAATCAAATTTAAAAAAAGAAAAGAAAAGGAAAAAAAGAAATGAATAATAGAACTCTGCCACAAAATAAAAGGAAAGAAAGAAAAGATAAGAAAAGAAATGTATAATAGTAACTAACACCGCCAAAAAATAAAGAAGGAAAGAAAGAAAAAAAAAGGAAACTGTTAAGAAATGAAACTTTTCAATTCTGCCCCATCCCATTTCTTTAAGGTAAAGAAAGAAAAAAAAGAAAAGATAGAAAATGTATAAGAGTTCTGAAAAAAGAAAAATATTAATAAAAGATTTGGGAAGGAAAAAACCTTCAAAAGAAAAAAATTTTATAGAAAGTAACTGGGGAAGAAAAAAACTGTAAGAAAGTAAAAAAAAAGGAAATCCCAGAAAGGAGGAAAGAAAGAAAAGAAATACTGTTCAAAAAGAAATATAAAATAAAAAAGAAAGAAAAGAAAGAAAAGAAATGAAAAGGAAAGAAAGAAAGAAGAAAAGAAATATTAAAATAAAGAAAGAAAAGAAAACAGTGGGAAAGAAGGTTTTTAGAAGGAAACAAATAAAAGAAAGCTGAAAAGAAAGAAAAGATAAGGAAAAAAAGAAAAGAAAAGAAAGCCACATTTTTTTAAAAAAAGGAAAGAAAGAAAAGAAAGGAAATTGTTCAGAAATGTTTAAAAAATTTGAAATTCAAAAAGAAAAGAAAGAAAGAAGGAAAAAAAGAAAGTTTTAAAGAAAATTTGAAATCATAATCAAAGTTTCAAAAGAAAAGATATTTGTGTTCAGAAATGAATGTAAACCTGCTAAAAAAAATTAAAAAGAAAGAAAACAAGATTTTTGAAAAAAGTAAAGGAATATTTGAAAAATTAAATAAAAAAATGGAAAAAAGAAAAAAAAAAGAAATGATAAGAGAAACTCTGAGATGAGAATAAAAGGTAAAGAAAGAAAAAAATGAAAAGAAAAAGAAATGAAATAAAACAATTGCTACAAAAGAAAGAAATTTAAAAAGAAAAGAAATAAGGAAACTGAAAGAAATGTCAATTTGAAGGAAATAATATAAAAAAGAAAGAAAAGATAAGGAATCTGTTCAAAAAAAAAACTAAAGAAAGAAATAAGGAAAGAAAAGAAAGAAAAGAAAGAAAATATTAAAAATTAAAAGTGTAAGAAAAAAGAATAAAAAAAAAAAGAAAGAAATGATAAAAAAAAGAAATAAAAGAAAAAAAAGAAAAAAGGAAACTGTTCAGAAAGTATAAAAAGAAAGAAATAATATTAAGATAAAAAAAAAAAAAGAATGGAAAAAGATAAATGTATGAGAAAAAAGAAAAAACAAAAGAAAGAAAAGAAAGAAATCAGAAATGTTTTATAAAGAAATATAAAAAAGAAAGAAAAGAAACTGAAAAAAAGAAAGAAAATAAATAATATAAAAAAGAAAAGAATGAAATTAAATGTATAATAGAATATCACATCCCAAATAAAAGGAAAGAAAGAAAAGAAAGAAAAACTGTTCAGAAAAAATATAATAGAATGAAAAAAATAATATTAAAAAGAAAGAAAAGATAAGGAAACTGTTCAGAAATGTATTAAGGAACTGAATGTTTAAGAAATAATAAAAAAAAGAAAAAGAAAGGTGAGAAATTAAATTTTGAAATAAAAAATAAAGAAAGAAAAGATAAGGAAGAAACCAAAGAAAGCTATGGAAGATTTAAAGAAAAAAGAAAAGAAAAGAAAGGAAACTGTTAAAAAATGTATAAAGTAAAAAAGCCAAAAATAATTAAGGTAAAGAAAGAAAAGGAAGAAAAGAAATGATAAAGTAAATGCTAAAGAATTAAAATTAGTAAAGAAAGAAAAGAAAGGAAACTGTTCAGAAAATTGTAAAGAAAACTTGAAAAGATAAAAAGAAAGAAAAGAAAGATTGAAAGAAAAGAAAGAAACTGATAAAAAGGTAAAGAAAGAAAGATAGGAAATCAACATTTAAAAGAAAAAAAAAAACATTAATTAAAAAAGAAAAGAAAAGATTTGAAAAAAAAGAAATGATAAAAAGAACTTTTACAAAATATTAAAAAAGAAAGAAAAGAAAAAACTGTTCAGAAATGAAAGTAAAAGAATCCCATAATAAAAAATAAAGAAAGAAAAGAAAGAAAGAAAGAGAAATGTTAAATAGAAACCTGCCACATATAATATTAAGGAAAGAAAGAAAAGAAAAAGAAAAAGATAAAAAACTCCACACATCCCAAAAAAGGTAAAAGAAAGAAAAGATAATGAAACTGAAAGAAATGAAATATTTTGAAAAAAATAAAGAAAAAAGAAAGAAAGATAAGGAAAGAAAAGAAAAAAAAAAAATGAAAGAAAAAGAAAGAAAAGATAAAAAGAAAAATAATAGTAAAAATTTGAAAAAAAGAAAGAAAAGAAAAGGAAACTGTTTAGAAAAGATAAGAAATTAAGGAACAGAAAAAATTAAAGTAAAGAAAGAAAATAAAGAAAGAAAAAGAAATGTAAAAATTAATATCAAATAAAAAGAAAGAAAGAAAAGATAAAAACTGTTCAGAAAAGAATTTAAAAGAAAAGAATAATATTAAGGTAAAAAAGAAAAGAAAAGAAACTGAAAGAAATGTAAAAAAGTAATTAAGAAAAAAAGAAAAAAAAGAAAAAAAAAAAGGAATGAAAAGAAAAAATAATGCTAAAAAAAAATTTTTTTGAAAAGAAAGAAAAAGAATGAAAAAAAAAGAAAAGAAAAGAAAGAAAGAAATTAAAAAAGAAAAAAAAGATAAGGAAAAGAAAAAAATAATAGAAACTTTGCCATGGAAAAAAAAAAAAAGAAAGAAAAGATAAAAACTGTTCAAAATTAAAAAAGAGAAATAATATTAAAAAGAAAGAAAAAAAGGAAACTGTTAAGAAAAAAATAGAAAAGAAAGAATAAGTGAAAAAAGAAAAGAAAAGAAAAAGAAAAGAAAGGAAACTGTTCAGAAATGTGAAAAAAGATAAATCCCATAAAAAAAAAAGAAAGAAAAGATAAGAAAAGAAAAGAAAAATAATAAAAAAAAAAGAAAGAAAAGAAAGAAAAAGAAAAATGTTTTAGAAATGTAAAAAAAAAAAAAAAAGAAAGAAAGAAAAGAAAGAAAAGAGAAAAAAGAAAAAGAAAAAGAAAGGAAAAAAAGAAAGAAAAGTTGAAATAAAAATATTATAAAGAAAGAAAAGAAATGAAAAAGATAGAAATGAATAAAAATAAACAAAATATCAAAAAGAAAGAAAAGATAAGGAAAGAAAAAAAAAATAGTAAAAAAAAAGAAAAGAATAAAAAAAAAAGAAAAAAAAAAAGAAAAGAAAGAAATTGTTAAAAAAAGAAAGAAATTAAGGAAAGAAAAAATGGAATAAAAAAAAAAAAAGAAAAAAGAAAGAAAAGAAAAAATTGTTAGAAATGGAAATAGAAAAAAGATGAAAAAAAGAATGGTAAAGAAAGAAAGAATGAAACTGAAAAAAAAGAAAGTAAAAGAAACATGAAAAAAAATAAAAAGAAAGAAAAAGAAAAGGAAAAAAAAGAAAAGAAATAAAGAAATGAAAGAAAGAAAGTAAAGAAAGAAAAGAAAAAAAAAGAAATGTATAAAAAAAATCCCATAATATTAAGGTAAAGAAAGAAAAGATAAAAAAAAAAAATAAAGTAAGAAAAATAAAAGGAAAGAAAGAAAAGAAAATGGATTTCAAAAGAGAAAAAAATAAAGAAAAAAAAAAAATGAAAAAATGAAAAAAAAGAAAAAAAAGAATAAGAAAAAGAAAGAAAAAAGGAAAACTGTTCAGAAATGTATAATAGTAACTTATGCCAAAGGAAAAAATATTAAGGTAAAAAAGAAAAGATAAGGAAACTGTTCAGAAATGTAAAATAAATCTATGACATCCCAAAAGATTAATAAAAAGAAAGAAAAGAAAAGGAAAACGCAAAAAAAAGTAAAAAAAAAATAACAAAATAAAAAAAGAAAAAAAGAGAAAACTGAAAGAAATGATTTAAAAACTCTGAACATCCATGGAAATTAAAAAAAAGAAAAGATAATGAAACTGTTCAGAAAGAAAATAGTAACTCTAAGGAAAAATATTAAGGAAAAGAAAGAAAGATAAGGAAACTGTTCAAAAAGTAAAATAAAATGAAAATAAAGAAAGGAAAAAAAAAAAAAAAAATGAAATGAGAAAATTATAAAAAGGAAAAGAAAGAAAGAGATAAGACTGTTCAGAAAAAAAAGAAAAAAAGAAAGAATTAAAAAAAGAAAAAAGAAAGAAAAAAAAAATAAGGAGTAAAGAAAAAAAAAAATAATATTAAAAGAAAGAAAAAAAAAGAAAGAAAGAAAAAAATGTATAAAGTAAAAAAAAAGGAAGATCCTATAAAAAATAAAGAAAGAAAAGAAAGGAAACTGAAAAAAAAATAAAAAAAGAAAATTAAGGTAAAAAAGAAAAGAAAGGAAACTGAAAGAAATGAAAAATAGTAGAAAAAATAAAAAAAGTAAAGAAAGAAAAGAAAGGAAAAAGAAAGAAATCAAAATTAAAAAAAGAAAAAAATTAAAGTAAAAAAGAAAAGAAAAGAAAAGAATGTTCAGAAAATGTATTCAGAAAGAAAAAAAGAAAAAAAAAAATAAAAAGAAAAAGAAAGGAAAAAAAAAAAAAAAATGTAAATAAAATATAAAATCCCAAAAAAGGTAAAGAAAGAAAAGATAAGAAAAAAAAAAAGAATAAAGAAAAGAAATAAAAAGAAAGGAAAAGAAAGAAAAGAAAAGAAATTGAAAAAATGAAAGGAAAAGATAAATAAAAAAAGAAAAGGTAAAGAAAGAAAAGAAAGGAAACTGTTCAGAAAATAAGTAAAAAAAAGAAAAATAAAAAAAGAAAGAAAGGAAAAGAAAAAAAAACTGTTCAAAAGAAAAAAGAGTAAAGAAAAAAAAGATAATAAAAGGTAAAAAAAAAAGAAAGAAAAAAAAGAAAAGAAAAGTAAATAAAGAAAAAAAAAGAAAGAAAAGAAAAGAAAGAAAAAAAAAAAAGAAAGAAAAAAAAGAAAAAGAAAGAAAAGAAAAAAACTGTAAAGAAAAAAAAAAAAAAAGAAAAGAAAAAAGAAAAATAAAAAAAAAAAAAGAAAAGTTCAGAAATGAAAAGTAATGTTGAAAAGAAAAAGGTAAAGAAAGAAAAGAAAAGGAAAGAAAGAAATGATAAAAAAGAAACAAAAAGAATAAAAAAAAGAAAGAAAAGATAAGGAAACTGTTCAAAAAAAATGATAAAGTAGAAAGAGGAAAATAAAGGTAAAGAAAAGAAAAGAAAGGAAACTGGAAAGAAATGTATAATAGTAAAAAACAAAGAAATATTAAAAAAAGAAAGAAAAGATAAGAAACTGAAAGAAAAATAGTAAATAAAAAAAAAAAGAAAAGAAAAAAAGAAAGAAAGAAAAAACTGCAAAAAAAAATGTAAAAAGAAAAATAAAAAATAAAAAAAAAAAATAAAAAGAAAAAGAAAGAAAGAAAAAAAAGGAGAAAAAAAGAAAAGAAACAAAGAAAGAAAACAAATAAATTAAAAAAAGAAAGAAAAGAAAAGAAAAAAAAAAAAAAGAAAATGTATAATAGTAAAAGAAAAGAAAGAAAAGAAAGAAATAAAAAGGTGAAAAGAAAGAAAAGAAAAGAAAAAAAAGAAAGTAAAGAAAAAACTAAAAACAATGAAAAATTAAGGTAAAGAAAGAAAAGAAAGGAAAAAAAAAGAAATGAAAGAAAAAAGAAAAGAAATTTTACAAAAGAAATATTAAAAAAGAAAGAAAAGAAAAGAAACTGTTCAGAAATGAAAGAAAGACAAATAATAAAATAAAAAAAAGAAAAGAAAGAAACTGTTCAGAAATGTATAAAAAAAAAAAATAAAAAAAAGGAAAGAAAGAAAAGAAAAGGAAAAAAAAAAGAAATGTAAAAGAAAAGAAAGGAAAAAAAAAAAAAAAAGGAAAGAAAAAAAGAAAGAAAGAATGAAAAGAAAAAGAAAAAGATGGAGAAAAAAAAGATAAGAAAGGAAAAAGAAAGAAAAGAAAGGAAAAAAGAAAAAAGAAAAGAAATAAAAGTAAAGAAAAATAAAAAAAAGAAAGAAAAGAAAGAAAAGAAAGAAAAAAATAGAAGTAAAAAGAAAAGAAATTAAAGTAAAGAAAGAAAAGAAAGGAAAGAAAAAGAATGTATAAAAAATGCTACAAAAGAAAGGTAAAAGAAAGAAAAGAAGGAATTAAAGAAAAAATAAAAAGTAGACAAAAAAAATAAAGGTAAAAAAAGAAAAGATAAGGAAAAGAGAAAAAAAGAAAAAGAAAGAAAGAAAAAAAAAGGTAAAGAAAGAAAAGATAAGAAACTGTTCAAAAAAAAAAGTAAGAAAGAAAAGAAAAGAAAAGAAAAAGAAAGAAAAGAAAGAAACTGTTCAGAAATGTAAAAAAAGAAAAATTAAAGAAAGAAAGAAAAGAAAGAAAGAAAAAAAAGAAACATGAAAGAAAGAAAGAAAAGAAAGGAAAAAAAGAAAAAAAGGTAAAAAAGAAAAAATAAGGAAACTGTAAAAAGAAGGAAATTGAAAAAAAAGAAAGAAAAAAGAAAGAAAAGAAATGTAAAAAAAAAAATCCCATAAAAGAAAGAAAAAAAGAAAGAAAAGAAAAGGAAAAGAAAAGAAAAAAAGAAAATAAAAATAAAAGAAATTTGATAAAAAAAGGTAAAGAAAGAAAAGATAAGAAAGAAGAAATGTATAATAAAAAAAAAAAAAAAAAAAGAAAAAAAAAAGAAAAAGAAAGAAAAAAAAAAAAGAAAAAAAAAAGAAAGAAAGAAAATATAGAATCCCAAAAAAAGTAAAGAAAGAAAAGAAAGAAAAAGTTAAGAAAAAATGAAAAAGAAAAAAGAAAGGAAAATAAAAAAAGAAAAAGAAAGAAAAGAAAAGGAAAAAGATAAAGAAAATGAAAAATAGAAAGAAAGAAAAAAAAGGTAAAGAAAGAAAAGAAA